GAGTCTAACTGTTGCAGGGATGAATCTTCTACTCGAAGGATTATCTGAGCCTTCTTACAAGTATTAGTATTCTGCAGCTGGTTATGGTTAGTGGCTTTGTTTTCATAGGTTGCATCAGGATAATCGGGGTTGGAAGTATTGTGGTTAGTCAGTTATTCGACGAGGTTTTCGCATGGTAATATTTCAGCGTGGGCGGTCTGTCGGGGAGATAGACCATTATAGATTTTAAATGTCGGATAAGCAGAAGTGGTTTTGCAGGAGCTTAAGGTTTATTTTCTTCGGGATGGAATTTTGGTTATCTCGGGAAGGTTGTCTTATGCGCTGAATCTTCGGTTGCATTCCTCATATTGTATGTTTTGATTTGGATGTTAGTAAGGAGCGATTTCGAGGACGAAAGCTAATTTAAATGGGGGAAAGTTGTAACACTCGGTTTCGGATTTGCTTCGTTGCTTGGGGTTGCGGCCCACTCATAAGTTGTTATGAGGTTTAGGGCCTTGGGAAAGGAAAGATTTGGCCCAATTCGGGTGTCGGTGTCATAATATAAGTGATCCAAGTGTTTGATTGTGTCTTCGGAGGCCAAGGGTATAATATTAATTGGATATCTTGATCTTTTATGGTTTTGGGTTTTGTTCGGGAGGTTTTAAGGTCTGGACATGTTGTTAGGAGCGTAGGGATTCTCGCCACCTTTTCGTGGATATAAGGTTCGTTGGAAACGGACCTATGATGAGGAAGTTATGGCATTTTGAAGTTATTAACAGTTTTAGCCCTAATGGAAATATTTGGCAAATTAGTCTCATGCATGCAAGGTTGCATGCGTGTGAGTACGCCCAACGTAAGCTGGGTTACGCCCAACGTAGTTATGGATAATGGAAGCTAAGGTACGCCTAACGTAGCTATGGATAATGTAAGCGCCAGGTTTCAAATAAGAGAGCTCGGGACGATCGCAGTGCATACACCCGTGTTTTCTGCAATATGTGATCTTTGGGATTAGACTCTGATATTTGTTTTAATTATGATTTTCAATGACTTGAACAAAGTTACAATAGTGTTCTGGTTATAATAAAAATGAAATTTTTATCCTTGATTTTTGGGTCGTTACAAAGGAACTTCTTGAAGAGTCATTGATTGACTTGGAGCTTTTGGATCCAGGTTTTGTGCACCTAGATCTATCTTCTTGAGGTATAAAGTCTTAACCTTGACAACTCTTTCATGTAGATCTAGCTAAGTGGTATTTTGTTATGAATTTGGTCGATTTGAGGTGGTTCTTGTGAGTAGAAGTTACTCCAGAACCTTTGAGCTTCATATTTGGTCCTTGTTAGGGTGATGGAGTCATAAAGTTTGGATCTTGTTGGGTAAAAACTTTCCATGCATGATTTGGTAGTCATTTGATGAAGTTTGGGGACTTAGGGTTTTGATTTGGGTCCCATTGGGTTATGCTAAGTCATAAAGTTGGAAACTTTATGACTTAAGAAGTCCCTTGAAATCAGATCTGGAAGTTTGGATTAAGGTCTTAAGGTATTAAGAGTTTTTAAGACATTTTGGAGTGATCTGGACCCTTGAAATTCATTTTTGGTGATTGGGCTTCATTAAGTCATGCAAAGGCTTAAAGCCTTCGACTTTATGGGTTAAGTCGCTGTTATGGACTATTCTGGGGTTTTAGACGTTAGACTTAATGGATTAAGTCCTTAGAATGAGAATTTGGAACTTAGTCGCGAACGCCGTACGTAGCTCATGGGAACGCAGCGCATTCCGTCTTGAGTCCCCGTTAATTTGTTCGGCGACGAACGTCGTGCGTTCAGCCCTTGGACATCGTGCGTTCGTATGATCATTGGAGTTTTTGGTTATTGGGCCTGGACTTAACTTTGGATGTGGGTCTTGATGATTTGGGCCTTATTCCTTGTGGTGTAATTTTGGTTTTGGGCTACCTATTTGGGCTTTGTTGCTTTGGGCCTTTTGGGTCATCTGAGATCAACTATTGGACTAAGATAAGTTTTGGGCTTTAGGATATGGCCCATATGGTTTGGGCCCAATTTGGAAAATTGGGCCATTAGTGAGCCTTTATGGAACTTTTGGTTTTGGGCCTTTATGGTTTTTGGACTTGGGCCTCAGTTTTGGTTAAAGTTAGGTTAGAGGTAAAATGGTCATTTTACCCCAAGTATGGTTTATGGATCATAGTTTGGAACCCAAATTGCTAATTGGGTGTTATCTTGGTATTGATAGCCCGGAGGAATCATCAGGGCAGCAGCTAGGGATTTTTTTCAGTGAACTTCTGCATTCGAGGTGAGTCTCCTCACCGTTCTATGGGTCGAAGACCCCAATGCTGGCCCATTTGGTTTATGTATTGTAGGACGACCCAGGGGTAACCCTTGACATTTTGTATGAAAGACCAGGAGGCGGCTCCTGGCAAACTGTATGCAAGACCAGAGTCTGAACTCTGACAGTTAATTAATTAAGTAGTGTAGATTGTATGCTAGTTGTATTTGTGATGCTTGCATGGAAGACCCGGAGGTGGCTCCTGGCACTTTTCTGTAAGACCCAGGGTTGTGGCCCCCGGCCTGACAAGGAAGACCACGAGGTGGCTCGTGGCATAATGGCAAGACTATGGTTGGCACATAACACTTTTCTTGATTGATTGGATATGTATGATATGTTTGGCTCATGGTTATGTATGGTATGTGGTATTTTGGGAAACTCACTAAGCTTTGTGCTTACAGTTTGTAGTTTGTGGTTTCAGGTACTTCCAATTCAGAAGGGAAGGACCCGACTTGATCGCAGTACATACACCCGTGTTTTCTGCAATACGTGATCGTGGGAATGAGCTCTGATAATTGTTTTATTTTGAAATACTACTTCTAAATGTTTGAGTAAAGGTTTAATGAATGTTTGATTATAATAAAAATGGAATTTTTACCCTATGATTTTCGGGACGTTACATTGCTGCTTTGGGCTTTAGTGGACCATCTGAAATCAAGTTTTTGGACTATGTATATGCTTGAGCTTTAGGGTAAAGCCCATTAGAGTAGTTTGGGCCCAATTTGGAAAATTGGGCCATAAGTGGGCCACTGGTGGACTTTAGAAGATTATCTAGTGATGTACCTTTTATGTTATGGTTTTGGGCCTTAGTCATTAACCAAATTAGACCAGGGGTAAAATGGTCATTTTACCCTGAGATGGATTATTAGATTTTGATTGGATGTTATGTTGCACTGATAGCTTGGGGAGTCGTCAGGGCAGCAACTAGAGACTTCTTTCTGAGAGATTCAGCTTTTCGATGTGAGTTTCCTTACTGGGTTTAACGGGTCGAAGGCACCAATGCTGGCCATGTTTATGTTTTGTCAGTATACTAGCTGTCTTCGTGACTCTTGCATGTGTATGTGTTTATATGCTTTCTAGGCTAAAGTCCGATGTCGGGCGGGGCCCAATGACTATTTGTATGCTATGTATCTATGTGATTATTGCATGTGTATGTGTTTATTTGATATATGTTATATGTATGCTAGGCGGGGCCCGAACTATTACCAGGCTCATCTCGATGCCGGGTGGGGCCCGATGCCGGATGGGGTTCGATGTCGGGCGGGGCCCGACGACAGGGCGGGGCCCACTATATGTTTATTGTATGTATGGTATGTGGTAGTTTGGGGGAACTCACTAAACTTTGTGCTTACGGTTTCTAGCTGTTGTTTCAGGTACTTCCGGTTCCAAGGGGAAGAGCTCGAGTTGACTGCATCGCACACACCATTGGACTTCCGCATTTGATATTCACTCTGATTTTTGATAACACTTGATACATTGGTTTTGCTGTGATGAATGTTTGATATTTGAAAATACTATATTATTCATTATAAGAAAATGAAATTTTTGGTACAATATTTTTGGATGTTACAACTGCCTTTTCATTTGGTGACAGAAATTATGCCAAACTCTAGCTTTGAAGGTCGTCGAATCTTGGTCGTCGCCCGTCGCTGGATCCTACGACACATCTAGCCATGCTTGCGCTAGTGCCGTCTCTTCATCATCTGTCCACCATTTGCATTGAGCCTTCCCTTTGCTTGGAGTATTCCCTTTTCCCTTTGCTTGGAGCTCTTGAAATGACTCTTCAACAGGCTCTTCAACGGGTCCTTCATCGGATGAATCAGTTGACTCGTCAAGTAGGCAGCGTGGTTGACATTGAAAATTACTTTGGGGTTGAGATTGTGAAAAGAATTGAGTTTCTTGAACCGTCTCAAACGGATCAAGATCCAAATTTGGATGAGATATTGGTTGGGATTGGTTTTGATAAAAGTGCATGGGTTGAGAAGTATACATATTGAATTGATACATTTGTGGAGCCATAGATGGAAAGTAGTAGCTAGCGGGTGAGTGAATGAGTTGATTAAATGAATGTCGATAACATTGTTGTGATGGAAGGATTGGGGATGAAAAGTTTGATAATTAAGTGTTTGGAGATGGAAGGTTTAGTGATGGAATGTTGAAGATTTCTTTTTGTTGTTTCTTGGGGTTTTGTTTGGGTGAGATGAATACATTTTTCTTTGATGATTTGAGATAGAATGTGAGGGAGATAATGTTTTGGGTGTGTGTAATATTGATTGTCTGATTTAATTTATGGTATTTGAATATTATGAGTTTTATTAAAAACGTTTTTTGTAATTAAATAAGAAGTAGGTGAAAAATTAAATTGGAAATTTAATTTTGGGGGTTGAATACATTAAAACCGTAATTAAATTTGGTTGAAAACATTAAAGTGTGAAGTTGGTGAGATTTATTTGCAATTTAATTTTTGAATATTATTAATTTAACAACGTTTTTTTTTGTTTATCTAATAGTGAAGAAGAAGTTTGGTGAATTTATGTTTGGAAATTAAATATGGTCAAAAAAAGATAAGCAATCCGTTTTTTTCATTTAATTGTGAAGTATAAAATTTATTATATTTGGAAAGAAGTTGGTGAATTTATTATGTTTGGAAATTAAATATGGTCAAAGATATAAGCAATCCGTCCAAAGTCTATTCCACCAATGATATTGCTTCATGCCTTTCTCAATCTTCTCGCCAAACTCAAGACGAGGATACTTTAACAAGCCCCCTAACTCGCTAGGGGGCGGTGTTTCGATGGCCTTAGCGACCTTAACGACTTTGTTTGGCGAATCCACTCCTTTTGGCCTAATTAATTCTCTCCGCCTCTCTGTCAACCTTCTCTTCCATAACTTTGTCTTGCATAAAGAACTCGATTTGCCGTTTCCTTTTGCAATTTTTTCACTCAGCTTTCAAATTTTTTCACCATCATCGCCATCACAGCTGAAGCAATACAGATTAGTTTTCTTCCTAATCGTCTGAAATTAGTCCTTCATTTGAGTTTTAACTGATTTTTGGTTATATCTGTTTCGAGTTGTGATACCTGTCTCGATCCAGGGAAACTACATGACCATGGAGTATGAAGTTGTTGGATGCGGATATCGAACAACAGCGAGCTGGTGTAGCCGCACATCTCAGCCCAGAAACTACAAACTGTGTTGATGTAAATTTCTTTTTCCGTAAGAACTGTTTGGGAATTTTAGGTCTTGTTAATTGTTATTGAATGCGATTTATAATTTGGTTTTATAAATGCAGGGTTCTTGAGCTCATGAGCTGAATGCTAGTGATGAGTGTGGAATCAATGTATACAATATCTAAAATTAAGAATTTTGGTGCAGTTGGTGTTGGTTCTGGGCATCAAGGGTATACAATATCTACCTCAAAGATACTTTACTTTTTTTTTTTTAATTACTTTCTAAATACCCCTCTCATATGAGCTTTATTTGACTTTTATTCTCTCATATCATAGCCACAGTTTGATTAATATTGTAGCTTGTGTGATCAGGGGTTATGGTTATCCTTGCCCATCTTTTAAGATTATCATCCTTGATGATGCAGATTCAATGACTGAAGATGCACAACTCTCTCTCTCTCTCTCTCTCATATTTTATAATTATTTGGCAGTGATATACAATCTCTCTCTCTCTCTCTCTCTCATTTTATAATTATTTGGCAGTGATATACAAGTAGTAATATAAATATGTTGTTTTTGTATTGCAGAATGCCTTACTTCGTACAATGGAAACCTACTCCAAAGTAAAAAGATTCCTTTTTATATGCAAATTAATCAGCAGGTTTATGTTGTGTTCAAAATTACTCACCATTGTGTTTCCTAATAATATAGTTATAATATGTTCTCTTCAAGTTATGTGGATTTAAGCTTGTTTTATACTTCATCTTTTGTTTTTATATATTAATTTTTCCATTTTTTTACCTGATGATGCAGGATCATAGAACTTCTTGGTTCTAGATGTGCCAAGTTCAGGTTCAAGCCACTTTTGGAAGAAAATATGAGCACTCGTGTACTACATATCTGCAATGAGGAAGGCCTTAACTTGGACTTAGAGGTTCACTTTCTTTTGCTTTCTAATGTTGTTAAAGTAGCTTCTTGAATTAGTATTATGTATATGTTGTAATCTGTATTTGTTGTGTGATTGGTTACATTATAGGCTCTCTCTCTCTTAATCTTAAGTTGCATATCTCAAGGAGATCTTCGTGGTGCTATCATCTTGTTGCAGGTAATAAGGATTACTACTTTTTTATGCTTCCCTTTACTTGTCATAATTTTATGTTATTGAAAACTATATTTTTATTGCTAAAACCAACTAATCACATATTATACAAATCTAACACCTCATACTTATACTATATTGTTTACATCTCTTAGAAGTATAAATGATTTTGAATATCTAAATAAACGATAAATACATCTCTTATAAGTATAAATGATTTTGAATCTACTCTAATAAATAAAAATCTTTTTGCCAAATGTCACACTCTTATTAATTTGACCACATGTCATTTTGTGGTTATTTACAATTAAAATTTTTCCACATGGCATTTTGTGGTTTTTTCCATTTTTATTAAATTTCACATAATATTTAAATGTAATAATTGCAATAAATATAATAATAAATACATATCAATTTCAATAATTGACTTTCTTTCTAATTTCAACATATCTAAATTAAAACTTCATTAGTTTCCTTTGTTTATTTATCTAAATTATTTGTTTAAATTAAAAAAAAAACATTTTAATTTTAATAATTCAATATTTTTTTAATTTTTCTTATAAATTCAAACTTTTTTAAATGTTTAGAATTTTCATATTTTTTTTAAATGAACCCATGAAATACATGAGTTTTACACCTAATATCTAAATAAACGATAAAATATAAAATAAATATAACTTACTATTTTTATTAACCTGGGCAACCATAAATAGGAGTGTTCGTTTGGATGAATCGATTTGATCCGATCCAATCAAGTAATCCAAATGGATTTTGGTTTTTAAAACATGGATTCAAATAGTCCAAACTAAATTGAAATCCGATCCGATCCAACCAAATTACAGTTCGGTTGGATCGGTTTTTACAATTCGGTTTTTAAGAGGCAAGACATTTTAAATAACGTATAACTTAAATATTAGCTAACTCTTTAAAAGTAACTAAATAAAACTTTTTAGCTATAAATTATAATTTATAAACAACTATTAAGAAAAATTAGTTATAGTTTAATAGTCCAAATAGTCCAATCCAAATTGTCCGATTGGACAATTCGGTTTTAACCAAATAGTAAACAGCCCTAGCCATAAATTTTATCGTTAAATTTGCCATTAAAGATAATATACCCTTATATATATATATATATATATATATATATATATATATATATAT